TCCAGAGAACTTTTCTGCACTGGTTTGGTTCCGATTGGGCAAAAAACCTATGACTGGTTTGCAAAATTAAGCTTTGTGAAAAATTCAAAATGGCAGAAAATTTTCCAATGAAATAAGCCAAGGATTCCAATGAAATAAGACACAAATGCGTCTACGACAAACGTTTTTGCTCACTGTAGTGCTCCCTATTGGCCGATTGGGGAGAGTCTTGGCCAGTATATCCCCAAACTGTGCTGTACCATCTGACCAAGTTTCAAATCTCTAGGCCTTACGGTTTGGTCTGCAAGATGAGTTTTAGGGCAGAAGAATAATAATCCTTACAAATAAAACAGGGTTTCACAATAAAAATCCTTACAAATACAATAGGTTTCAGCGCTTCATGCTTGAACCCCTAACAATCAATGACACAACTAATCGAACTGTTCATTAAAAAAAAAAAGTTTATATAAGGTTTGTGAGTGCTTGTGATCTGTTAATAACATTATGGCTATTAGGGTTGGTAAACAAAGTCTCATATTTCCGTTTTAGCCAGCATGCATCAGCAAATCAGTTGTTGTTTTTTTTCTTTTTCTTTTTCCTTCCACAGATCTCTGCTGCCCTCTGCAGCTTTTCTAGTAAAATAAAAAATGTTGTTGCGTCAAACACAGGCCCACAAAAGTCTTGCCTGTCTCATGCTCAAAAGAAAAATATAGACATGTGAAAACAAATACACATAAGTAATAATTCATCTCAAAAAGAGAAATAAGTAAAAAAACTAACAAATTGAAGCACAAACTTTTAACCTACTGGAGAGTGTAAGATAAAATCCCCTTTAAGCAGCCCATCTGTACAAATAAAGCGCAAAGCTAAAGTAACTGTAATATGTGGGAGATTGAACGTGTAAATCCAGTAACTACAAGATCTTGTAACAATCTTGTCATTCACAATTAGTTGTTGCTGGCCACTAAACTGCTTAACCTGGTTTTACTGTGATTCTGTCCTGACCAATTACTACTACAGCAATCTACCTATAGATACACCACTGAGACAAATACTGCTGGAGGAAGACAGAAAAAAAAGACAGTTTGTCTTGTGGGTATCCAGCAAGAAGACAAGGCTTCTGTAAATGTCCTCTTTGTGATTTCATAGATTGATACCATGTCCTAACCAAGTACACTATCTTCGCTGAGGAGTTTCCCTCATTGAGATTGTACCTGTGTGGAGAAGAGTTGGTATTCCTCAGGCAGTATCCAGGAGCGTGGGTAGAAGTTGTACTCCTCTGGGAACAGCTCATGCATGGTGCGCACGGCACGACTCAAGTTTATCTTCCGCAGCATCTCTATCATTCCTGCTGACCGACAGGATAGTTGATGAGAAAACAGAGTGAAGTCAAAGAGAAATGGCACAGAGGGCAGAGAAGGGCTGCCATTCCTCATCAGTCTATGGTCCTACAGGGGCGTTATTCTCTCAAAACGTGACAC